TCACTACTGACTTTTATTGCTCTGCTCACCGAAAGTGCGTGGTCAATGACGAGTGTGCGAGCCCAAACATTACTGTGGTGCTTGCAAATGCTGAGGGAAGAGCCCCTCGGTCCTTTTTCTGGCATCTTCAAAGCATATGTAACTTTGTTGATGTAACGAATGATTGGACAACACTGACAACTTCTCAATTTCCATCAATAAACATAGGCAACTTTTCAAGTGCTATCAAGAAAACGCAAAAGTGCAAAATAGAAAACTAAAACACTACAGTCTTAAAAAAAAGACCATTATTTTCCAGCTTCTTGCAGCTTCAACTTCGCTTTCAGTGATTCCGGCATCTCCGGTGGCGGTGGACGTGGAAGTTTGAATATCACCTTCACGCTATCATAAATAAACCACTGCGCGGCAGTCAGCGTTCCGATCATAATGATACGTGGGATCAGACCTTTCCACAAACCTGTCAAAAGAATATTTAAACCTCTACATGAGAGGCGCCGAACAGAACCCAGTGATCAGTGTTGACACCAACAACAAAAGCTTGACGGATTACTAGTTCTGACATATTTCAGAAGAAAAATAACTGATTCCGCTCCGTGAAACGCCGGATTATGGGACCAACAAAACGATGTCTATAGACAAGAGATCCAAATACTAACCAATGAAGCCGAGTTTTCTGACTACTTCCATGGCGCCCGAACCAGCATCCTGATTTAGCTTCGACACAACAGTATCTGCAGGATGCGATACAACAGCACAGAATACGCCAGCGATGTATCCGGCGCAGAAAGTGATAACCAGCTGCTCAGCTTTCGAACATTGCGATCTTGGTTTCGGAACCACGTACTTGTACAGCATTTCAACGGTACGTTCGAAGCAAGCAAATTTCATCATCGTGTACGGTATCTGACGCATCCAGAGTGGTGGCAAACCTTCAAATTAAAAAACTGCACAATGCCCAGGTTTCATATAATGGCAAAATGCACCTACTCTTGAATCGAGGCACTGGGCTTGAATTCAACAGTAGCAGAAATCAAAACTTCAGCAACTAACTTCGACAACAAATGCTACTGATAAATCAATTATACCAGAAAGCCAAATCAACTTCAGCATACTTCTCAAGCAGCCTTCGGACGAGTGGATCATCAACAGTCTTGTTAGCAGAGTACTATTTCTCGAGCTACTTCCAGGTGCATCTAGCTCTTATAGCCGTGGCAGCGCTGACCCCTCATAACTGACAGATAATGATTGTCCGTATCATAGAATAATTTCCTCCTCTTCCTCTCCTCCCTCACTCCGTTTGTTCCCACTCTGTTTTCTCTTTCTCTCGCATATCCATCTAGCAATTAGTCACATGACTGTTCAGTACTTGAAGAGTTGTCTGATGATTCTCGCTCCTACTCGCATGCAAAGTTCGGTCTCACTGTTTACGGCTAAGGGATGAAAGACACGGACAGACTGCATCGTAAAATGTCTTCTTACACATGACACTTAAGTCCAACCCCTCTATTCTACTATTTCAGACCAAACAAAGGTAGCGTCGTCCGACACATTTTCTTCATTTATGAAGGAATGAATTCCAGGACCAGCACATCTTCTTGGCCTTTCTGTGAGCAGCATACACAAAAATTCCCATACTTCTAATGGATTTGAGGAAACTTTTGTAGACAATTCAACTAAACGATGACTGGTTTTTCTATAAAAAGACCTTTATAAAATCCCATAAGTCCTTCACTCCGCCAAATCATTGGTGCGCATCCACGCAGTGTTGGTGGGGAACCGGGAGACGTCTGTATTCGAACTTTAGTTGCTTCCATTGGCGCAAGCATTATGTCAGCG